GTATCATAGAATGTTCCCACCATAGTCTTTGAAAATCTAACAAAATTATTTTTTTTCCAAATGAATGTAGCTTTTTCGTCATGGTATGATAAAAGTACCAGGCAAAAAAAGGATCTGTCATAAGACTATAACTTACGCATATTCGACATAAACGGAAAACAAAAAAATCATGAAAACACTAAAAACTCTTTTTGCAATTTTTTTTGCAGAAATTTTTCGAATTTTTGATTACCAAAATGGCATTAAACACCTCCAAAAACTCGATTAAAATTGAAGTTAAGCAATATGAGCTATTGTAAGCGGACTAAGTTAAGCATAAAAAAGCCTGCTCGCTGGCTTTTGTCGCTCGAAATTGGACGAAAAATCAAAAAATTGAAGAAAACTCGATACTAGAAAAAAAAACTTTTGGGAATTTTTAAAAAGAGTTCGAAGCCCGACTGAAAGGGCTTTAATATTAAATATCACTCAACCCAGTCCAATGATTAATTGTGGTACCAGATTTTTCGTGGAAAACAAAAAGAAAAAGCTAAAAAACACCCCCCGAATACAAAGTACCTCCCCATTTTCAATGATCGGAACAATTAGCGTGGAAATACAAAAGGTAGTAAAACCGTAAAGACGTTTCTACCTAAAACACAAGGATTACTTTGACATTTGTATATCCGCGCGCCTATGTCACTGCATATTTCTTGACAGAAACTACAGCAAATGAGACGATTCGAAAACAACTACTGGACAGAAGAGAAAATTCGACACTACCCGGAGAATTTTTTAACCCTCCTCTGCACGACTTTTTGTTTTTTGGTTTAAAATTTTATTCGGTGGTATTGGCCCTAAGTCGTAATGAAAACTCCTGCCTGAAAAGCTAAACTAAATGCTAACTCGCAATTGACCAATTCAAACAGGTTAACTCGGTTCAATGAGCTTCAGTTTTCTTTTATCCTCTTTCTGGATAAATTTAATGTAAGAAGCGTACTGCAAATAATAAAGAGGCAAATCGGTGCAGCTCTTCTCTCTTTTGTAGTGCTTCGACTAAATTAAGCAATCTTATGAGTCTTTAATCGAAGGATTGCAAATTGATCCATCCGCGCAAGTTTTTATTTTGTCTTTAATCGGGAGGACACGAAATTATTGTCTTGAAAAAATTTATGCTATAAATTCTTGAAATTCGAAACTTTTATGCCCCAACAAGCCTGGGGTTAAAAATCTTTTCTCCAAACTACGCAATTCACTGGGACGAAGCAGATATAATATCAGCGAAAAACTTTTATCAGGTTAAACAATCGAAATTATTCAATATTTTAATAAATAAACTTAAACATTGAAAAAATCGTTTCCTATTTGATAACGCTTGCGATAAACCATAAAAATTGATTATTCAAATTTGCCCCATTTGTGTCAATTATGTCTAACACAATGCTTGATGCAATATCTTAATTAATTCATCCAAACAAGACTGAATTGATCTGATCGGAAACGTAAATTAGTAAATTAGTCGGGTAGAACCACTGCTGTTTAAAAAATTGTTTATTTATATTAATTGAAGGAAACTACTTGGTGAGAAAAAGACTAACGCAAATGTATTCACTGCTTTTGCACCTAGCACTTTTGAACTCGCGCATATTTTTTTCGTCAACAATTTTATTAACACAGATCAGAGCAGACCTCAGAGATTCGTCCCAGTGGCCACGTAAATATTTCCCTATTGGGTTTTGCCACAACTCCCGACAAAATACAACTTGCAAAATTGAAGAAAGGCGATGACAATTCACACTTTTAGAACCTCAACACACCTTTAGAAGCAATTTAGGACCCTTCGGCCACAATGGGTGCCATAAAAATATCGAGCATTTGACAGGCGGATGCCTCCCTCCACCTGCCAATATCTGCTACTGATTTAATGATATATTTCATGACCACGGCAGGTATATCTGGAATTTCGAGTGTTAGAAGGAATGATCATTTTAGAAGGATTGATCTTTTTAGAAGGATTGATCTTTTTTTAAATGATAATTGAAATGACTACTTTTCAGTAGCTTTTCAATATTTAGCACATTATTCCTATCCGTTCACTAAAAAATCAGACAATTTAGAAGAAAAATAGCACAAAAGGGGCCGGTATGGATTTCAAAAACTTTCGATGTTTTTTGCCTTTTATTTTTCTGAGATAAATGTCGGTCGACCATGAATGTTCATGTCGTAGATTGTTGCAAAAATTGGCCCATGAGAACAATCTTCCAATTGTTAGACCAAGTGATCAATCTCCCCCTAAGATTAAATGGCAAGTTTATGCCGTGCCTGCGTCTTTTTTGCTCAAATTTGATGCACCAAAGAGTTGACCATATTGAATATTCTTTTTTTTTCGAAAATTAACACTTTTGAAAACTTTCAATAAAGATTGAAAACGTCTTATCTAAAAACGGAAAGCTTTGAGCAGTCGTTTTTGGAGTCCAGATAAACGTCCTGACAGAAACTTGAGGGCACTTCACCATATTGTTGAGTAATTCGAATAGATTTTATTTGGATTTTTTGAAAATTTTTTAAAAAGCAGAAAAAACGTCATATCTTAGAAATCATCATATTAAAAAGCGGAAAAAACGTCTGCAACCTGTGAGAGTCGGTGAAAACGTCATTCACTCATTTAGTTTTTAAAAAGCAGAAGAAACGTCTGCAACCTGTCAGGGTCGGTGAGACTACCCCCTATTGCTTTGGGAAACTCAAAAATCGAAAAGTTTTTTTTTAAATCAAGATTTTTTTATTGAAAAATTTCGAAAAATTATTGAAAAACGTCATATCTCGGGAACCGAAAGCCTTTGAGAAGTCACTATTGAAAGCACGATTTGCAACCCCTGCGAGTACCTTGATAGAATCGAATTTCAGAAGTTTTTTATCTATATTTGTTGAACAATTTTGAAAAAATTGCGAAATAGTCGTATCTCGTAAACTAAAAGGATTTGGGAATTCATAATTGGAGGCCAAACTCGCAACCTCTGAAAAAACACCAACGGCATCCCACAACCGGGCTGCCAATTTCAATTTTAAAAAACACCAAATTCAAACTTGAAAACATTAACATAGCAATATAGGATATAGCTTAAGCATGAAATTTTTCTTTCGTTAAACGTGCAAAAATACACGTTGAAACAACTTCAACATGACAAGATAGAGAAACACGCATTCGGAAATAAATTAGATAGATAATAGATAGCTAGGTTAATGCCAGATAAAGCTGGTAACCCTTCGAGAAAAATTAAGCTTTTAACCGTCTTGCTTAAGTTAAAAGTTCTGCATTTAAAGAAATTATAAAAATTTATATTAGGTTTGTGAAAATTTTATAAATCACGATTTCTTAAATTTTTCAAAAAAAAAACATAAAATCTTAGAAGCCGAAAAGATTGCAGCAGTCATATTTTGAGGCAAAACATGCAACCCTATGAGCACCCCGGCAGCACCCAAGGACAGGGTTGAGAATTTACCTTCTGTAAAAATTTTCATAAAGAATTCATAGGAAACGTCATATTTCGAAAAGTAAATGGATTCAAGCAGTCAAATTCAGGGGCAAAGATGGCAAAATTTGTTAGTACCCTGTTAGCACCTAATTACAGGGTTGACATTTTGAACGTTAGTCAATTTTTTATATAAGTTCTTTGAATATTTTTGAAAAGTTCATAAAAAAAGTTCATCTCGAAAGCTTAATGGACTTGAGCAATCAAATTTCGAGGGCAAATTTGCAATCACTGAGAGTACCCTAAAAACACCCAACTACACGATTGAGATTTCAAATTTTAAGGAATTTTAAAATCCAGGTTGTTGGAAAGATTTCGAAAAATTGTATCATTTTTTTGGTTTGAAATCAAACGGGGAAAAATTAGGCTTGCATAAGATTTAAGCATGAAGATAAGTTTGAGACACGAAACTTCCAATTGAATTGAATGTTTTGGATGAGACTGTAGAATATAAGCATTTTATGTTACGTGAGCCCGAACGCAAGTAGCGATCAAAAACCAGCAGCAATAGATACAGGATGGAACAATAATGAAAAAAAAAAGATGTTTGCATAGTTGGTATGAACTTCTGCACGCTCTAGATAAAATCAATCTACTTCAGACCTGTAAAAATATAAGCTAAGCTCTCAATGTTATAAAAAACGTTAAATGTTAGAAGCTCTAAATGTGGATTGATTGAAAAAAAAAAAAGAATTTATCATAAACTTTAAAAGAAACTCTGAATCAGTTTGGAACAAAGCGTTTTTACGATATTGTTCTCCGAGGTTAACTTTAACTGTTTGAGGTGCCTTTTTGATTATTTGTCATTATGTTCTCTAACTTTTAAAACTGCACGACAAATCTACGAACGCCATGAAATCTATGATACAAGCAAGTAAAAAGACCTGCGAAATTGCAGAAAAAACAATTAAGACGATGCCGATTGTTAATTACTGCTTCAATAAACCTAGTTTTTGAACTCTCGTACAACTGGCTTTGCGAATTGTTCTAGGCTGTCCATTTTCGCTATCAAACTGACTTGTGTTAATTTATCACGAACAGTACGAACCATGCCTAAACTTGCGGCAACTTGCAAATTATAGGCCTGCATTTCAACGATCTTTTGAAGGGTTCCAATTACATAAGCTAGCGGGTGCGGAAATCTTACATTGAATTTTGCCGCTGGAATATGCTCCAGCTTGTTAGGTCGCTTCGTATTTTGATGTATGGTATCTGTAGTTTTCTCTCTATTCTAGCGAAATAAGGCAAGGAATTGTTAGTGGGATTGCCAGTGAGAGTCTGATAGGCGAGAGGCTTGTTGTTGTCCAACCATGTTAGGTGTGTTCATCAAAAGATTCTTTGGGCGTTAGTGACATGAGTAGCATTTTTTTTCAAAAATATTGGTAACGCTGTCATTAGATTCACTTGAAACGCATACAGTGCGGCTCGATATGATTTGACATTTGCATATGCCAATTACAACACGGATGAGAAAGAATAGTAGTTGAAATTTACCTGTTGTCTTGAAAATAACAATTGAACCGAGTTTCCCAACACAAGGATGTTTTGTTCAAATGAGTCCAACTGATCCTCAAAAATTTGCAAGTTCTGGTTCTGTATTGCAATGATTTCAAATTGAACTTTCTTCAATTCAGAGATTTCCCCACTGAACATGAAAACTTGCCATTGGTTTTGGTTCGGAGTCAATTTTTATCTTCTGCTAGGATGTCCACAAAGTCTGCCATGCGCTTTATGTTCTCCGCATTTTGCTTTGCTCTTTTCTGACATGAGCCATAATTTCCACCAACTCAACAGCCACCATTTCTAACTAGAACTCCACCGCCAAATAGTCCGATAGAGTTGACTAGTAGGTCAGCGATCGGCAATCCTCGTCTTTTTCGGAAAGAGTGAGTTCACCGGCTTAGAAAACATCTTTTGGGTCGTGTAAAAACTCGACTTCCTACTTTGATTCTGCGGTTTCTTTTTGATCTTGAAGTCAGTCAACATTCAAAAAATTGTCATTTTTGAGTATTTAATTTCAAATGTAGTGAAATAAACACTGTATTCAAACTGGAAAATCGAAAAAAAATTCTTCTGCAGAGCAGCACTATGATACAGCTTAAACGTGCAAAACGATTTCGTTAAACATGCAAAGATAATAAAAAGAGCTTAAACATGGCGAGATAGTGAAGCCCACATTTGAATATCTAATAGATAAATTATCAAAATTGCGGTTTTACCTTCTCATAACTAGTTTTTTTTGGCAATGAGTGCTTTTTACAAAATTGGCTCCCTCAGCTCAAAAAAGCATCTAGTTCATAGAATTATGAAAGGTTTTATAAGGTTTAAATAGCGACCAAATATTTTTGTCGTGGCCTTATTAGTATGTATGCTAATTTTTGTAACAATCCCATAATATGAACAAAAATTTCTTTAAAATTTGGCTGAGACGGGCGAGCATCAGCAATAATCCCCTTTTACCAGCAAAATGGCAATTAAAATAATTGGCTTGAGGAAATATCTCACGCGCCGAAAAGTCAGTCAATCAGAGTTCTTTATGTAGGTTTCGAATAAAATCAGTCAGTGTTGGACAGTTAGTTAAAAGTACATCGCTTGGATGGAAATTTTTTCACATTTGGTGCGTGCAGGCGAATAGCCCGCAGTTGGTCATCTACAGTTCCCACGCCTGTGATTTTTTTAAATTTTGTTCACGTGGTTCAAAGTATGAAAATATGATTTCGAGTTAATAGACCAATTACAACATTTTGTCAGCATATACAAACTAGTAAAATCATTGATAAAACCGTAACTATCATGTTTATTCCTGGTGACGCTAACGATAGAATTACCTAACTATTTAGTTTAACGATAGTTAGATTAGACAATAATCTGAGATATGTCCAATACTTATCTGATACCGATTCGAAGGGTCTCTAAGCGTATTGGCTGATTTGGCCCAAAATCTAACTTATTTGAACTTGAAATCATTAAGGTGATATATGAAAATGAGTAAAATGTTATATAACTTCATTTACATTTCAAAAACACCAAGGACATTTTAAAAAGCTGTTCAGCTTGTCGAGGCATGCCCTGAAAAACCTTTACATAGGTGACTAAATGATTTCAGTGACGCTGTATAATCCCCTTCACACTTGCGAAATCGATTTCATCTCTTCTCTTTACCATAAAAAGCGACTGATCTTCATCTTACTGGCAACGTGTATTTAAAGCCTTATGATTTCCTCTTGCCGATCTCAAATTTTGAAAACAACTAGACAGACATTTGAATTCATCATTCGATCCACATGAATGCAACTCATTAAAGCATATAATATTCATTCAAAGGAGAAAGAATCTCATATATTTTGAACAGGAACCATGATCCGTTGACATTGATGAGCATTTGTTCATGTAGTTAAATTTTCAGTCTCGTGCCATGGTTAAGTTTATAAATAGCACGGTACGATAACCACAAAATAATGACAAAAAGGAAGTTAATCTGATTAATTGAAAAAGCGAAGTGAGCAGAAACAGCATTTTGTTTTGAAAAAGCACAGATTGTTTTGAGCCAATACCAAGCCAATAAATGAAATATTACCATATTCCTCAAAAACTTGACCCAGACAACCGAACAGTAGGAAAATCTGAACTAGTAATTGATGCATATATTTTGAAACCAGATCGGTGATTTGAACTTTTAAGGCACAAGTTCAAGTAGCACAATTTTTACTCAGTGAAAAACTAATTAGTCGATCCGAGCGAACGTGCTCGAGACTCTTTCTCTTAACACGAGGTTCGTGCGTTCAAATTCCACTTCCGTATCATTCGGAGTGGTTCAAATGACAATCTCCTCCTCAAGGTGGTAACCGATTCGCAAAAAAGGATGACACATTTCCCGAGGAAGGCACGGCAGTGCGTAGATAAACAATTGAAAAAGACAGCCGGTTCAAAAAATTACAACCACGAAGGGCCTCCATAAATTACAGATTATTTCCCAGTAATTCAGTCATTGGGAATAGTTCTTACTGGATAAAAATTGATCAGCATAAAAAACTTTAAAGTTTATTCAACAAAACTGCAGGAAAGAAGATTAATTCTGTAGATTCAAAAGCTACGACGCAATTAATAGTATGGTGATTTGTAGCTCTCGAAATCAATTGGAACAGATCTTTCCCGAAATTATGCGACTCATGCAGAAAGATCACTTTTCGGGGTTTTGTCCAATTAAGCTTTCGTTTTTGTTCAAATTAGATATAGTAACATGACCTTCAGTCGTAGGTTTAAGTAAGATCGTGCGGCTAATTTGTCTTATTTATTTGATCCAAATACCAAAGAAAATTATCAACATATATACATATAAATATATATATATATATAATTCTAAACTCTCTACACAAATTTGTCGCTGAGAAGCCTTTATAGTAATAGGACCAGTGCATACAATCGTGTGAGAGGCCAGCAGTTAGAATTAAGTGTGGGTCAGGAAATGAGACTGTCCGTAGACCTTGGACAGAGGTCAGTCAATCTAAAATTGGACATCCGAGAAACGGAATACCCCAGACGAGATAGACAACTAGCCACACAGACAAGCAGGACGTTCTTCGATGGACTGGCCCCTGCGAGTTGGGGAAGAGCGCGGAGTGCCCCAGGGCACGAGCAAAGACCAGTCTGACCACGGGGACTCGGAATATGGGCTTGGAATATCCAGAGGGCCAGAGTTGAGTTCACGAAACGAAACCGCTTCCTAGAAATTGTCGATACGATCGCAAGACACGACACAGAAATAGCAATGCTGACGGAACTTCGGGAATCCATCCCCGGGATAAAGTGGATAAAGGCAAGAATCTTGTTCGGCGTGCTCGTTCACGGCCAAAGGAGCGGTATCTTCCTACGGGGCGAGTGGGCTGTCCGCTGGCAAGAGGAAGGATGTCTCAAGGAATACGGTAACCGGAATACAAGCGTGACCGTAGGAGGGCTGAAGCTTGTATCTACCTACCAATCACTGTGGAACGGAGATCCGGAAGAGTTCAGAATGTATAGAGAGGAACTAGAATGGATGATCCACACGCCAGAGAAACTGGTAGTTGGGGGAGATTTAAACTCCAGCGTCGGTGACTTATCGGGTAGGGAGCGCAACGAAGCCGCGGGCCCCTGTGGGTTTGGACACACGAATGACGCCGGAAACGACCTGATGAACTGGTGCTTAAGGAATAATCTACAATGGGCCAACTCGTTTTTCAGACACCGCTACCGAGGGACATGGAAACACACGGTGACTGGAGCGCGGCACGAGATAGATGGTTTCCTAGTAGAAAAAAAGGTGGACAGACAAAGATGGGTGAAGGACATAAAGAGTTCACAAGTGAGAACCGACGCGTCAGACCACCTACCGAAAGAGATCACGTGTAATCTTTTCTTCAAACTCAGGATCGTCATAAACCCCTCCACCAGCTGCATAAATTGGGACCGCCTCAAGGAAGACAAGACTTCTGTCAGTTTTCAGAAAAAAAATAAAACTGAACCTAAGACGGGAGCAGGAATGGGAAAGGCCATACAAGTAGTGACCAAGGCTGGGAAAAAATGCTGCGGACTGAAGGAAAAGAAAAACCTGCCATGGATGGACGACCACAAGGACGAGATTCAACAATACCAAGAACAGATCACCCGTGAAACAGAAGAGATAGACAACACCAGGGTCGACGAGCAGACACGCAGAAGACAGAATCGGAAGGGAACGAGGAAAAGATTCAAGGCCGACAAAGAAAGATGGGAAGAAGAGTGGTGGCTGAAAGTTGTAGAAGAAGCTAAGGCTGCGGAACGCACCGGAGACATCAGAAAGCTATACTCAGCCCTCAAAAGGATCCGCATAAAGGACTCAACCACCATCGAGGAGAAATACTTCACACCAAACGAGTTCAGAGAACACTTCCAAAAGGTATCGGACCAGAGATTCGAACGTGAAATTCATGAGATAAAAGAGACCTCGAAACTCGCAACTCAAAGGTGGGATGAGAATAGTATACAGGCCGCGAAGGTTCTGGGACGAGAGATCACATGGCCCGAATTCAACAACGAGATAGAAAGCATTAACGATAGTGCTCCAGGTATCGAAAACGTGAGGATGATCGCTGTGAAGAGAGGTGGAAAACATCTAAGACAAGCGTTGTTCCGATGCATCATGAAGATCGTTGAAACCCAATCTGAGGACTGGCCAGAAAGGATCAAAGAAGGATGGGTAATACCGCTACACAAGAAAAGTGCGAAGAACGATCTCAATAACTAGAGGGGTATGCCTCTTACCACTCGCAAGCAGAATCATAGCGAAGATACTTGCCTCAAGACTGAGAGAGTGGTCGGAAAAGATCGAATTGTTAGGCGAGAACCAAAGTGGTTTCAGACAAAACCGATCAACGGCGGACACAACCCAAATAACTATCAGGGTAGACGAGACCAGGAGGGTCATGGGATACGAGCCGAAGAGTACACGAGAAAGACCAGGAGCGGTACTCATGGATACAACTAAGGCGTATCCCCGGGTAATTAAGCCTCTTATCTGGGAAAACACTACAGACTGGCTATACCAAACTGGATCCTAAGACTCCTGAAAGGCCTACATGAAGATACCACCTATAAGATCAAGGGGAGGAATGAGCTGAGTGAAGGATGGCAGCAACAACGTGGCTTGCGAGAAGGATGCCACCACTCTCTTCAATATATATCACTACGTGGTCAGGCTTGCAAAAACCTTGAGAGGAAGCGGCAAAAGAAGCGAACCAAGAATGCGGGCTCAAATGGTCGTGGCGTGCAGGAACTAGTCTGCCGCCGAAGGACGTAAGAATGGCGGCCACCAGGTCAAGCAGAGAAAAGTTTGAAATTACGGAGAGCCTCTTTGCCGACGACTCTACGCTAATCGGCTGGACAAGTGAACTCAAACTCGGGAAGGAGGTAGTCAAGCAAGCAATGAAAGACTGCGAAGAAAAGTGTCACGATGGAAAAGAAGAGTCAATATCATTTGGAACGGAAGCGGCGAATAAGACCAAGATAACTGGAACGAGAATTGGAAGGAAAGACGACTTGAAAGCCAGGGTGCAACGAGGAAACGCTGCTTGGTACAAGACTAAGAAATGGCTTTGGCGATCCAAGCTGTCCATGAGGACACAAGCCCTAGTCGTTCAAGCAGTCGTGGAATCAACAATGCTTTTCGATTGCATGGTCCACACATGGACAGCGACAGACATCCAGAAGATGCAGAGTGTTCCAGATAACGCATACCAGTGGATATGGAACCAAAGGCCTGGCGAAACTGAGGATGCAGAAGGAGCACGTAAATGCATACGAGATAAGAGGACAACTGGCAATCTCGTCCCTGCGGGTCAAGATAGAGACGAGAACCCTCTCCAGGATCGGTCACATCCTACGCATGCCCAACGAGAGACCCACCAAGAGGATAATTCTCGGCACCTGGGACCACGAACTCGAAGTAATAGGAGGTCTCAATCGAGGTACGTTATAGTACTGGCGGAAAATCCTGGGAGAAGCCGGAATAGACTGGACCAACACTGAGAACTTATCCAGAAACAGGAAAGGATGGAGAAGTTTGGTAAAGAAGCGCGAGATATTCTTGATCGAATGGGAGGAAAAGATGCGCCTGACGGGAAAACACTATCCCAAACCAACCAGGACACAGAGCCCCGAACAAATAGAGAAAGCGGAAGGCTTTACATGCAGGTGGGAAGGCTGCACCAGTGTATGCAGATCAAAAGGAGGTCTCAGCCAACATGAAAGGTGAATGCACTGTGAATCGAACGCATCGTTCAAGTGCACATGATGCTTTCGAGCGTTTAACGGAAAGGCACAACTGACAAACAGCAAAGCCTGTGAAGCTGAGGTGCAAACACAACCCCGAGTCTGGCCCCGAGAGTCATGTCATATCTGCGGAGGAAAACAGACCAAGACCAACATGGCCAGACACCTTCGCAGGGTGCAAGGGGTTGTGAAGCAAGGAGGAACCCCTTCCTGAAGGCTCCGCCTTACCTAACATGTTTTTTTCCTTTTCCAAGTCTGTTCTCTAATTTCAAACGCCGAAGAAGTAATGTAAGTATCCAATGGAGGATTACCTCATTAATTTTTCAGGTCGTGAATGAAAATGAGTGGAAAGGGTAGGAGCGATAGAGGTGGGAGGAAGAGGGGGTTGGAATAAGACTTAGCGTCCAAGGAGGGTGTGAATAAAGTACCAGCGAGAAGAGGTGACAAACCGTACCGTGAGGAGATCACCACGGAAACCACAGACCATCTCGAATTCGCTGTTCTGGGCGATTCCATTGTGAATGGGCTCTTTATCAAGAACGCGAAGGTTGTGACTAGTCCCGGTGCGCAGATTCACCAACTGTCCGAGAGGAGGATAATGGACGATTTTAGTCGCCTACGAATTAAGAAAATCGCGATTCTCGGCGGGACAAACAACATTGCAAGGAGAGACGGCTCAACACATCAGCCAGAGGAGTTCAGTGACCAAATGAAGGATCTAGTGAAGGATCAAAGTGACCAAATGAAGGATCATAAGGACGAATCCTCCTTGGTGGTAACTAGCATCTTTTAGTAATACAACTTGTTTTCCAGGTTTGGCAATTCGAGTTGCCTGTGTTGTTTTAATTATAACGATGTCAACAGTGTCCAGTGCTTTTATGAGCATGGTCAGTTATGAGCTGTGTCTTTTCGTAAAACTTGCAGAAAGGAAGGAGTTTTTCGATGAGTCTCGGTATATAGTTATGGAAAAATTGGTAATCCTAAGATTGATTTGGTTTGTTTCAGTGTTTAGGCATTTTACTCTGCTGAGGAATTTTAATAGTATGTAAAAGTGGCTACGAAAAAGACCACTTTTAACCCCCCAAGGGGTTAAATCTCCTACTTTTTCGGACACACATGTTTTAAGGGGGGTTAAAAATGGTCATTTTTCGGGCACTCCATGGAAACGGGAATGGAATAAAGTTTTGGTTGGTGAATGTTTTCTCTTGAATTTGACGGTTCAATTTCACCGCGCGCGTATTGTGGATTATCTTTATCACACCCACGTGGAATTAAATTAAATGCTGTGATATTGATAAGTTTATATTGTTGTTTTTATTAGCCCCCTCACGGTTAGAGTTGATTATTTTACTTTTCGGTAAGAAAAAAAAACAATTTTGAAAAGCTTTATTTCCTGAACGAAAAAAACTATAGAGCTTATCAATTATAATCAGAACTTAGTCAGAATCGTCTAATATTAAAGCACGTCGATGTAAGCACCGCCGTTTAGGTGGTCATATTTCTTCCGGCTCGCTTTCTTCTCGAGGCTCTAAACCCAAGTAGGGGCAAATGTACGCTGCTATTTCTGAATCGCTTTGCTAACTTAGTTGGCCAAAAACTGCCAAATCATAATCTAGCTCTTGAACAGTGTATGTGCGTTGATTGAACCCCATATCTGGCGGTGTAAAAAGATCCACGTTATACCCCCCTGCTCTTCTATAGCTTCAGCTAAATCCTCCCTTCCGTTATCGGTGGGAGTGACCACGTCTACGTCGTATTCGCCCCAGTCCATGGTGCGCCCAATTTCCCTTATGAACATATCCTCACTCAAACGTTCATGTCCAAAAAGACTAGTAGTTACTCTGTCTGCATGTATATAGCGCTCATAGTCAAATGCGCTCAGGGAGATTCTGTTCGTTATTATGGCTTGTAAATTGTGATATCAGGAATTTATCAGCACATTTTTTGCCCAGAGCAGCGAACAGTAAGTTAAAGTTTGTTTGTATTCATTATGGGTTAGCTACCTTTTTGTATATGTGGAGACACCCTTGGCGTTTTTTCTTCAACTTCTACACAAAAAGACAACCGATTTGGTTCAAATTTTCAACAGTTTCCGTTTTCCACTTAAATACCTCCCTTCCCCCCACTACATAACCTTTTGAAATGTCTTTATTGCCTTTTTCTAAAACGATAATTGGAAATTAAAAAAGAAATGTATTGGCAGAAATAATGCTGTACAGTTTGGGCTTTAGTCCCACGTACTCCTGTATGATCTCCCCAGCAAACTAACCCTTAAATTTGAGGGTAACCCGCACATTCTCGTTGTTGTTGAAGGCGTGGGTGGCTGGTAGATTTGAAAAATCAAATAGATTTCGCAGTTCATGATTTTTCTCGATTTCATTGTAGAGATATTTGCTGCGGATTTCATACAGGAACGAATCAGTGTCCGAATAAAAGAGTTGCGTCGAAATTTTTCTCGATTATGTTGTAATGGAACTGGAACATGTAAAAATTTGCCAAATCTAATATCGTTGCACCGACATTTGTGGACTTATCCCATTTAATGATCACAGGTTTTGAGGTTACAGATACCAATGTGGTCAATAATTTTTACATTGCTAATTCTTTTTTTTCGTTGATAAATTTTGCAGTTCTTTTGCAGGACAATAAGTCGATTCCTTTTTGATTCGCAGAATTTTCCAAACGCACTATTAATAATTTGCCTGAAGAAATCTTGTTCAAACGTCTAATTTTGTAAACTTTCCTTCGAGTAATCCTTTGTGTAGTGATTATATTCGCCACAATTTTTTATTGGCTGATACCAAATTGGCATTTTGCTGAGGAGAGTTTTAGACTTGATTTTCTAATGCATGGAAACAATTTTGACAGACTGTTGACGGTTTCGGCAAGTTTCCACTCTTTTGCGTTCAAAGAAATCGTGCTGCTATAGCGTGTATTGGAAAGGGCTGTAATATGCTGTAATACTGCCATGAGACCCCAGATGCTGAGATGATCTGTGTTGTTTCATCTGAAACTGCTCTTGCTCATTTACCCGCTTCTGTTTCTCAGCTACCTTCGGTTGTCGGATCAGGTAACTTTGAAAATAATTGGAACTACTTTTGAATAATTTCGAGTTTTACCTTTTAACTTTCGAAGTAACAATGATTTGTTACTAAACCTCCGCTGTCACCATATTACACTATAGGTTTCCGGTCTCAAAACTATAGCTTTCGGATCTCAATTGAAGATCTTTTTGAGATTTCAAGATGCGTGGCTTCGGTCTACAGAGAAACCTGTTTATAAAAAAAGGAAAACATTTTCTGCAATTATCAACTCTCCACAATGATTCTGGTTAGTTTTCTACTGCTCTCAATAGCTCGGATTATAACATTTGATAATATGATAATATAGAACATCACGCCACTTCTGATCTTAACCGCCATTTATTACACACAGGCGAACCTGCGATTCGCAAACTCTAGCGATAACTCGACAAACAAGCTTTTTTTAAGTTAAATAAGAAAACACCGAATTGGTAAGACTTTGCTACGAATCGGATTCGAACCTGCAACCTCACGCTCTGCCCGCTCGGCCACGATCTCTTAACAACCGACAACTACTAGTCACAAAAAAAGCAGCTGAGTATGCTTATAAATTGTCATTGGTGCAGCAAAAGTCGCACTAAATACAAATAAACACAATTTGGCATGTAATAATTTTTAATATAACAAACTGAAGACATCCACACAAACTTTGCATGTGATAAACTCAAAAGCATAAGCCCAAATTATATATAAATTAATCATTTCAAAAATATTGCGAGATATATTGAGTTGGAAAATGTCTGAAATCGAGTTTTTATGATTAAACTGATATTTGAAGCAAACAGCTTTCTTTAGTTCATTTGAACAATGAGAAATGCGTCAATTGCGTTAACTTATTACTAATCGAATGTCAAAGCACAGGCTATCAAAACGCTCTAAGGGTGCCCCAAAAGTGGCACCAAAATTTGCGACTTAAGTCAGAAAAAAAAAGAATTGCCGTACTATTACACTACGCTCACAATACAAATATGAAACTGAAATTACTAGGATTCCTGTGAGACCTATTCACGGAATTCCTTAGAAATACAGATTTCTCCGTGTATCAATTGGGATCCAACGACTAAAAATCTAACCATTACTATCCACGGAATTCCATAGATACACAGAATCCTCCGTGTATCAATCGGGATCCAACGACTAAAACTAGTCATTACTATCCACGGAATTCCTTAGATACACAGAATCCTCCGTGTATCAATCGGGATCCAACGACTAAAACTAGTCATTACTATCCACGGAATTCCTTAGATACACAGAATCCTCCGTGTATCAATCGGGATTCAACGACTAAAACTAACCATGGTTTGATTCGAAGTACTCGCTTGGCAATTGGCAAAAGACGCAAAATTATGATAATAGCACAAAGACGCCAAATTGAATTCTACTGTCAAGAGCTAACTCCATTGTTATAACAAACTGCCGCACCGGATCTCACTCTTAAGTTCCGGTGAGGTTGAATTGAAACAGTAGAAAAAAAATCAGATTGATTAGCAAGAGGTGAGCTGAACACATGACAGCTGAATACACATACAGCACGAACATCATTAAAATTGGATTTCTCTAACTGGTTAATATTCCATGAAACGACACGGTAAAACCAACGAAAGTTTGAATTATTGAGGCCAGCAAATAATCTGAATTTTTTATCAGCTAAAACACTGAAGAAATCTCTGAGTAATTGGTATTACGATATGGAAACAATATTTATTTTGATTTCATTTCTTATAACAAAAAATAAATGAAACTATTTTCATATAATTGAACAACAAAAAATCATATTTTGGAAGTTTTGAAGACAAATAAGAACTCAACATTGAGATGGGAAAAATGAGCAATTGAAAAAAAACTAAGAGGACAGTAAACGTAAGCTTTGGGTTATTTAACAAAATTTCAGTATTTTGAGTTTAAGTTTTCAAAGAATCAAACATTTCACATTTACTCTTAACATTTTTAGTTTCAATCTGATAATTTCTAGTTTTTTACCCATGTTGCTTCGATCGCGAAATGACACCTTAGGACCTTTCGAAGAAATGTGGAGGCGGGAAAGGTAGAGATGGTTCCGGAGCTATGCTTCCAGCTGGCATTTGAGGCCCTTCGAGGAAATCTCTTTCATCAAAAACTGGATGACGATTATAGTTATACGATCGCTGTTTATGCTGGAAACTGTTGCTTTTTGATAGGGGGGAGGAGAAGGTAGCTTGGGGGTTGTTCTGTTGCACCCTCGTGGGGGTGAATGGAGGTGGTCGAGGGGCCGCAGGTACAGACACAGATGATTCAGATTCCGTTCGATCAAGACCGAACCTTTTTCGAGTCATGACCTAAAACGCATGTTTTCTGCTTAGACAATCGTCGCGGTCAAAATCATAATTTAAAAAAATTCTAAGGATCGTAAAAATTTCAACAGACGGAAACTCAACTTGATTTCTTTCTCTACATTACCTCAGCTAAAATTGTGAGTTTAGAATAACATTGCAAAAACTGTTTTATAATTACTTTAAAACGTTAAATCCTTCAATTTCGGTGTAAAAACCGACTATAGCAGGACAAAAATATATTTCATTGATGAAACCTATAGCGTTCTTTTCAAAATAATCAATTAAGGAAGCGTTACTTTGCGACTCTCCGAATTATGGCTAAAATCTGCTTTTGAAATTGGGGCTCTAAAAGTTCCAATTTCTATCTGAATACACTTCTTGAATAGACCTAATTTCAAGCCTTGTATTTTTAAAGCTAGCGAGTTCAATCCAATAACAATTCACTCATGCTTCTAGCACTTTCTGTTCGTTCCACTCTCGTGTATCATTAAAACTCTACAACAAAAAGCCTGAAGTACTGCTACTTACCGGCGTGTGTTCCCGTTTGGTTTGTGACAATGGTTTCAATTTGGGCAGCATAGCATGAAACATTGGCGTGAATTCTACCTGGGAATTTTCCTGTTTAGAGAAGGCCATCGAATTGCTCCTCGCAAAACCTGAAAGAGAAATCGCAGAATATATGAAGAGAAACCAATCGAAAACTCCCAACAACTATCAGTATCATCCAAATAGTGCATTCATTAACAAGAATTAGATTATTGATCGGAAATATTTTTTCTACTTTAAAAGTAATATATTACACAGAGGCGAAGCTGGGCTTCGCAAACACTCGCGAGAACACGACCAAAAAGCAGCTCTATCAATTGATAAAAGAAAAAGAAGAAATAAGCCTCGAATTTGCAAAAACTCGAGGCTTAACAAAAACTCGAATTAGCGAAAATCTGCGACCTAGTAAATTTGAGTCTCACACACTAACCATTCAGTCACGGATGCTTAAAATCCCCAAAAACTAGCCACCAATAATGCAGCTACATATGCTAATAAATTGCCAATTCCATGCAGCAAAAGTAACATCAAATACAAAAAGATACAATTTTGCATGTAGAAAAAAACGCAAATCATAAAGCCACATTATGTAAAAGTATGCGTTTCAAAAAATTGCGAGATATATTGAGTTAGAAAATTTCTGAAATGGAGATTTAATTATTGTTATGTTGTTTGAAACAAATAGTTTTCTTCGGTTCACTTGATGAATTAAAAATGCATCAACTCTGTAAACTTATAACTATTCGAATGACAAAGCACATGTTATAAATAAGCTGTAAAGGTGCAACTAAATATCAAAATTGCAACAAAATATCAAAATACCTTATTGCCAATATTCGATGCAACAACTTCGATGCAGCAAATATAGGTTAGGTAGAAAAAAAAGAAAGTTTGTACTATAACATTGCTTCGCAAGTATAAATACCGAAAACACGTGTCTCCACATTTGTTCACATGGTGAAGCATTTGCAAAAAAAAACATGAACTAAAAGATGATAGTAAATTGCTTCATTGACCTGCAAAATTCAAAACCAGAGAAGGATAGCCGGCAATTTTGCAAGTAGCACAGAATATTCCGACCATAGTCTTAATGAACACAACAAAAAAAAAAAATTTTTTAAATTGGTGTCGCTGTTTTATTGTGGTCAGATAAAAAGATCGGAACAAACAAAACTAGAGATTAGGCATATTCGACAGTAATAATAGAATAAGCAAATTGAAAACAATTTTTGTACAAAAATGACTTAAAAAAATGAAAAAAAAAATCAAAAATTTTTGCATTTTTTTTGCAGTTTTTGGATTTTTGATTCAAATACTCAAAGAACTAACGCTACTCGAGTAATACTAAATTTGTACAATTTTATTCAAGCTATTATAGGCTTTTGAGCCATTAAAACAAGCTAATGTCAGCCTGCTCCCTGGTTTTCGTCGATCGAAATTAGACGAAAAATCAAAAATTTTAAACCGGTTTTTCTCGACACAAAAAAAATTAGGAATTTTTAAATGTGGCTCGAATCACGACTGAAATGTCTTCAATATGATATATCATTCAACCCAGTCCGATTATTTATTGTAGTAACTGATTTTGCATGAAAAACAAAAAGAAAAAAGCTAAAACACACCCGAATACAAAGTTCCTCCCCATTTTCAATGGTCGGAGCAATAACAGTTCAACCCTTATAAGATTCATGATCAAATTTAACTTTAAAAAAAACACTACAAACTATTGAAATAAGATCTATTGAAATCTAAGTTATACATACTGATAAACATCGGCAAGGATTCCAGCAGCTTCGTCAGACTTGGAAATCCGTATTTGAAACAGCTCAGCTCCCTCTGTTTTGTCATATTGTAAATCTGTGCCAGCTCAGTAAGCCCAACAGGGAGTTTAGTTTTCCGCATGATCTCCACCAGTTCGTGAAGTAGTTGAATCAGAGGTCGCATTACGATTGATTTCTGGTTCTCTACAGAGTCGAAGATCCAGACCATCTCAGTCGCCAGAAGCAACTCTTTCAAGTCTGTGAATCCGAAATCACATGCTTTAACAGGACGATTGAACTTTTCCTGGAAGAAATTCAGAAACTCCTCGTATGTCACTGTTTGTTTATTGACAGACGACATCACGGCGAAAACTCTCAAAGTAAAGTTCGAGATATCTTTTTCTGAGTTTGAAACAAGATCAAGGTTGATTGAATCGTTTCTTTGTTGGGTTGTCATCGCCAATTGGATCCAATTGGATTTGCAAAATTCTTCCACGCTGTAAAAACCATAGTCGACAGGATCAAACTTCAACTTACGCACTGCTCCGACTAAATCTTTGACAGAAGCTCTAAGGTTGACTCAAAAAAATCGCTCGGTTTAAACAAGAACGGAGACTCAGATCTGTCAACCATTATTCAAATCTGAAGCAAATCAAAAGCGACGTCTTCTCTAAACGTCTCCGTAAAACAGTCAATAATTCTAAGTCTCTACAATTAGACCGCATACATATAATCAGAAGGTCAAAAGTATCATAGTAACCGACGTTACAGTCAGGAGTTCCTTATTCAGAAAAATTTCAAGTGCTAGGGCCAGCGGCACCCTGAACTTCAAAAGCTTGAAAAATATGTTGAAAAATATATCCATCATTAATTAAATCTCTACATTTCTCAGATTTTCGATCTTCCGCCTCGGCCGTTCCGGGGTTACAAACCGAACCTGCGCTTATTCTACTAGGCGCTAGTGAGTCAACTACCGTTACATCCCACAGGAGTTGCCTACCAACAGCCCATGGGACGAGCGTCAAACCGTCTGGTCGCTTCTGATCTGTCCTGTGGAGAAGTCGTGGCTCTACAACAGAAGGAATAAGAGTGGAAGCGAGTTTGCTTTATAAGAGCATTCAAGTCTGAATGCCTAGAGAACCTCCCTACACTTTTGAAACAAGATAGGCCATGCCATCCATCTTCGGTTACATCTTTTCCGCAAAAGCACCTGTTTCTCACAAATTTTTGAACCTAAGCGGATTCCAATTGCAATTTTAAGCTGCTGATTCGACTATTTCAATCTTAGAATATTACACGGTATGATATTCAACCATTGCGATCCGAACTTATCCTGGTAAGCATTGAACCTTTTTACATCAATAGAATCTAGTTTCAAAATCATAAAATTGATCGATTACTTTATCAAAAATGGGCTCCGACCAATTTTTTTGGATTTTGTTTTCCGGAGATACTTCACATTTCGCTGAATCAAACCAAAGTTGTAATTCATCATTATATGTACCATCCTCGTGCTCCGTACCAAAAATCTTACTTAAGGTAGCTTTCGCTCCTACTGTTGAGGCTAAAAACCGGGTAAAGCTAGTAGGCGAGCAGACACACTCAAGCCACCTTTGGCTGCCGGAGGAACTTCTGGCAAAAATTGGTTATCATTAATTTTTACATTTGTTGCCTTGCATAAAGATAACAAATTATCCCAATGAAGATACCTGACGATGTTTGCAGTAACGTGGTGTATCAGATCACTTGTTTCAAATGCCAGTCTAGCTATACAAGTCATTTTTTATTTTTTAAAATCAAAAATCATTGGTTAAAACTATCTAAGTAACCGAGGTTATAGTCAGGAGTCCCTTCATCACATATTCCATTCAAAAGGCTCTAAAACTTTTTAACCAGTCAAATTTGAACAACTGTAATTACATAATATAATTACGTAATCATGAATAACAATTTCCTGTAAATTTCCGAGACTTCTGAAATGGAGATTTAATTATTGTTATGTTGTTTGAAACAAATAGTTTTCTTCGGTTCACTTGATGAATTAAAAATGCATCAACTCTGTAGACTTATAACTATTCGAATGACAAAGCACATGTTATAAATAAGCTGTAAAGGTGCAACTAAATATCAAAATTGCAACAAAATATCAAAATACCTTATTGCCAATATTCGATGCAACAACTTCGATGCAGCAAATATAGGTTAGGTAGAAAAAAAAGAAAGTTTGTACTATAACATTGCTTCGCAAGTATAAATACCGAAAACACGTGTCTCCACATTTGTTCACATGGTGAAGCATTTGCAAAAAAACATGAACTAAAAGATGATAGTAAATTGCTTCATTGACCTGCAAAATTCAAAACCAGAGAAGGATAGCCGGCAATTTTGCAAGTAGCACAGAATATTCCGACCATAGTCTTAATGAACACAACAAAAAAAAATTTTTTTTTAAATTGGTGTCGCTGTTTTATTGTGGTCAGATAAAAAGATCGGAACAAACAAAACTAGAGATTAGGCATATTCGACAGTAATAATAGAACAAGCAAATTGAAAACAATTTTTGTACAAAATTGACTTGAAAAAATGAAAAAAAAAATCAAAAATTTTTGCAATTTTTTTTGCAGTTTTTGGATTTTTGATTCAAATACTCAAAGAACTAACGCTACTCGAGTAATACTAAATTTTTACAATTTTATTCAAGCTATTATAGGCTTTTGAGCCATTAAAACAAGCTAATGTCAGCCTGCTCCCTGGTTTTCGTCGATCGAAATTAGACGAAAAATCAAAAATTTTAAACCGGTTTTTCTCGACACAAAAAAAATTAGGAATTTTTAAATGTGGCTCGAATCACGACTGAAATGTCTTCAATATGATATATCATTCAACCCAGTCCGATTATTTATTGTAGTAACTGATTTTGCATGAAAAAAAAAAAGAAAAAAGCTAAAACACACCCGAATACAAAGTTCCTCCCCATTTTCAATGGTCGGAGCAATAACAGTTCAACCCTTATAAGATTCATGATCAAATTTAACTTAAAAAAAAACACTACAAACTATTGAAATAAGATCTATTGAAATCTAAGTTATACATACTGATAAACATCGGCAAGGATTCCAGCAGCTTCGTCAGACTTGGAAATCCGTATTTGAAACAGCTCAGCTCCCTCTGTTTTGTCATATTGTAAATCTGTGCCAGCTCAGTAAGCCCAACAGGGAGTTTAGTTTTCCGCATGATCTCCACCAGTTCGTGAAGTAGTTGAATCAGAGGTCGCATTACGATTGATTTCTGGTTCTCTACAGAGTCGAAGATCCAGACCATCTCAGTCGCCAGAAGCAACTCTTTCAAGTCTGTGAATCCGAAATCACATGCTTTAACAGGACGATTGAACTTTTCCTGGAAGAAATTCAGAAACTCCTCGTATGTCACTGTTTGTTTATTGACAGACGACATCACGGCGAAAACTCTCAAAGTAAAGTTCGAGATATCTTTTTCTGAGTTTGAAACAAGATCAAGGTTGATTGAATCGTTTCTTTGTTGGGTTGTCATCGCCAATTGGATCCAATTGGATTTGCAAAATTCTTCCACGCTGTAAAAACCATAGTCGACAGGATCAAACTTCAACTTACGCACTGCTCCGACTAAATCTTTGACAGAAGCTCTAAGGTTGACTCAAAAAAATCGCTCGGTTTAAACAAGAACGGAGACTCAGATCTGTCAACCATTATTCAAATCTGAAGCAAATCAAAAGCGACGTCTTCTCTAAACGTCTCCGTAAAACAGTCAATAATTCTAAGTCTCTACAATTAGACCGCATACATATAATCAGAAGGTCAAAAGTATCATAGTAACCGACGTTACAGTCAGGAGTTCCTTATTCAGAAAAATTTCAAGTGCTAGGGCCAGCGGCACCCTGAACTTCAAAAGCTTGAAAAATATGTTGAAAAATATATCCATCATTAATTAAATCTCTACATTTCTCAGATTTTCGATCTTCCGCCTCGGCCGTTCCGGGGTTACAAACCGAACCTGCGCTTATTCTACTAGGCGCTAGTGAGTCAACTACCGTTACATCCCACAGGAGTTGCCTACCAACAGCCCATGGGACGAGCGTCAAACCGTCTGGTCGCTTCTGATCTGTCCTGTGGAGAAGTCGTGGCTCTACAACAGAAGGAATAAGAGTGGAAGCGAGTTTGCTTTATAAGAGCATTCAAGTCTGAATGCCTAGAGAACCTCCCTACACTTTTGAAACAAGATAGGCCATGCCATCCATCTTCGGTTACATCTTTTCCGCAAAAGCACCTGTTTCTCACAAATTTTTGAACCTAAGCGGATTCCAATTGCAATTTTAAGCTGCTGATTCGACTATTTCAATCTTAGAATTTTACACGGTATGATATTCAACCATTGCGATCCGAACTTATCCTGGTAAGCATTGAACCTTTTTACATCAATAGAATCTAGTTTCAAAATCATAAAATTGATCGATTACTTTATCAAAAATGGGCTCCGACCAATTTTTTTGGATTTTGTTTTCCGGAGATACTTCACATTTCGCTGAATCAAACCAAAGTTGTAATTCATCATTATATGTACCATCCTCGTGCTCCGTACCAAAAATCTTACTTAAGGTAGCTTTCGCTCCTACTGTTGAGGCTAAAAACCGGGTAAAGCTAGTAGGCGAGCAGACACACTCAAGCCACCTTTGGCTGCCGGAGGAACTTCTGGCAAAAATTGGTTATCATTAATTTTTACATTTGTTGCCTTGCATAAAGATAACAAATTATCCCAATGAAGATACCTGACGATGTTTGCAGTAACGTGGTGTATCAGATCACTTGTTTCAAATGCCAGTCTAGCTATACAAGTCATTTTTTATTTTTTAAAATCAAAAATCATTGGTTAAAACTATCTAAGTAACCGAGGTTATAGTCAGGAGTCCCTTCATCACATATTCCATTCAAAAGGCTCTAAAACTTTTTAACCAGTCAAATTTGAACAACTGTAATTACATAATATAATTACGTAATCATGAATAACAATTTCCTGTAAATTTCCGAGACTTCTGAAATGGAGATTTAATTATTGTTATGTTGTTTGAAACAAATAGTTTTCTTCGGTTCACTTGATGAATTAAAAATGCATCAACTCTGTAAACTTATAACTATTCGAATGACAAAGCACATGTTATAAATAAGCTGTAAAGGTGCAACTAAATATCAAAATTGCAACAAAATATCAAAATACTTTATTGCCATTCGATGCAGCAAATATTGGTTAGGTAGAAAAAAAAAGAAAGTTCGTACTATAACATTGCTTCGCAAGTCTAAATACCGAAAACACGTGTCTCCACATTTGTTCACATGTTGAAGCATTTGCAAAAAAACATGAACTAAAAGATGATAGTAAATTGCTTCATTGAGCTGCAAAATTCAAAACCAGAGAAGGATAGCCGGTAATTTTGCAAGTAGCACAGAATATTCCGACCATAGTCTTAATGAACACAACACAAATTTTTTTTTTTTTTTTTAAATTGGTGTCGCTGTTTTATTGTGGTCAGATAAAAAGATCGGAACAAACAAAACTAGAGATTAGGCATATTCGACAGTAATAATAGAATAAGCAAATTGAAAACAAT